TGGAAAATTGGAATTGAAAATATGGCCTAATAGAATCTGGCTACTTTTAGTAGGATGCAACACAGTTAACTGATGCAGGGTGATCTGCATGTGAGTCTTAAGAAGGCTACATATGCATCTATTTATTTTTTGAAACATGCTTTTAATGGCAGTTTTTTTATATGTGTACTGTGCAGCATAAAAGCATATGTACTCTTATGCCGAGTTCACACTGCCTGTGCTACATTGTGTTTGGATTTACCCTTGTTGGATTAAAGACTTATGATGTATATAACCTTTCATCTTCGTCGTGCGCACTTTAACACAGCGTAGCTATGACAATCACAGACTCACTGTGTAGGTAGAGTCTGAGTGAGAAGCATTTAAGTTCAAACTTGTGAAGAACAGTTTTTAAAGTATTGGAATGTGTCTTTGAATATTTATCTGTGACATTTTAATTGCTGCTTGTGCAAAACTTGGGACGGGATGATTTTATCAAGTAGGACACATTTCTGGAACTTATTTGAACATTTATGGAGGACATTTTTAAATTTCTCTTTACAATGTTGACTATTGTTGATGCATAACTCACTTAAGGCTTAGTGTAGCCCATATAATGTATATTTATGGTTTATTTAGTTCATTATTAGTGTAATGGGACCATGGTTTGGACACTACAAATCCCAGCAGCCCCAGTGTTATATAAGGAAGTAGTGAAGGTTGTTTGCTCTTTCGCTTCCGCTTTTGATTTCGGGGATGTCGTGGCGGATTTAGAACTTTGAAAAGAATGGTAGGCAATCAGATTTTTTTGTGAGAGGTGTTCTCTCACTTCTTCATTACTTTTATTGATTGCATTCCATGTATGAATTGATGTTGTGGCAGATATAGCACTTCAAAAGAATGGCAGCAGATAAGCAGTTACGTTAAATACTGCTGGAGCTTTCTTCGAGAACTGAACATATGATGCACCGAATAAGGAGAGTTGTGGCTGGATTATTGCCTGACTGATGGTTGCCTGACTGTCCCAGTCAAAAATAGTGGATGTTAGAGGGATGCACGGTTACGGTTTACTTTAGATTTAATACTTTTGTTATTGTTTTTTATTTCTTTTGTTCTGTGAATTTGGGACCCAGAGTGGCAGAGGAGAGATTAAGCCCCAAAGAAACTGGATTAATAGTGACTGTGTTACAATGCTGACTTGTGTTTGTCACCTGCATTGCCCACTGTTAATTAAGTTGTTTGTTTTCTTTTGTAGGTTCAGTTTTGTTTTTTTAAGCCAACGGTGGCCACTGAGTTGCCCTCACTGTGTGGATGGCGGTGGTGAGGTGGCTGGGATTGTGTGGTGGTTTGATCACTTTATCTCTGTTTTTTCTGTAAGTTTGCAGTGTGATTGCTGTGAGCTTGACTGCTGTGAAAATACTTTTGCTCTTGTGCCACTTCTGTCTTCACTTTCTAGGTAACCTGTGGCCATCTATAGTTGGTTTTCTTTTTGTTGTTTCCTATTTATTTGTTTATTTTTTTTCATTATTTTCTCATGTGGGTATTTGCATCAAAGATTGGTGATGTGATGTTTTAATACTTTTGACCTGTCTAAATAAAAATGTGCCTGTTGTTCAAAGTCATCTCATGGATCCTTTCGCCTGGTTACTACAGACCTCTTTAGGTCATCCCTCCACATTAGCTAAAATGTGGCTGTGTAGTGGCCTGCTTGTGGACCACTGCCAAAATGCCAACATTCTATGCAGCATGTGGGCCACATGAGGAAAGTGCGGAAAACCAGGGTTAGAATAAAAATCAACTGTGGCCCACATTACGGCCAGTTTGGGTTTATTTGTTTGGCTTACATGCTGCAATGTTAAGGCATACTTGAGGCCCAAATCTGGCAAAC